GCGGGGGAGGGAGTGAGGAGTGGGCGGGGATAACAATTAAAGCTTCCTTGGAGAATCATGAGGATCAGGTCATTAATATGTGTCGAAAATGCTTAGATCGGGGCCTGATGCTCAGTAGGTGGCAAGTACATAATAAATGTCAGCACTTACTACATCTCAGACAGTCTCTGGGTTCCCTGGGCATCATTCAGGCTCAGGCAGTCATTCATTCACACCTTCCTTTACCCAATGCCCGCTCCTCCAGGCCCTGCCCTCCAGGAGCGTGGGCACTTTTCTGGGTTCCTCAGTGCACTAAATGGGAAGCCTGGGGCCTGGAGTCCTGGTCCTGACTCCAATGTGACTCTCCATCACCTACTGTGACTCAGCTTCCTAATCTGCAAAATGGGCAGGCCCAAGCCAACTGTATTCCCTGAGATGGTCCAAGAGGCAAGCGAGGACCCCTGTAAACTATGGAAATGCACAGATTTCCCTGATAGGAGCGCTAGAAAGCGCTAGGTTGCGATACAGAGAAAGAGCAGCTGGAAGCAATTTTCAGTGAGCTGAGTGTAAAAGGGAAAAATGGGAAGAACCCTGTTTTCCTCAATGGGCATGGAAGTATGCGAGGGCCCATCCATAGAAGGGAGTGTGACGCGCCACTAAAAATGATGCTTCCGGGTCTGTCGTACGTGGGAAATGCTGATGTCGTAATGTTCGGATTAAAAGAAATGCAAGCAGGTCCCCGTCTGACTCAGCAGTTCCACCCCCCGGGGAGCCCGTCCTCCAGACGCACACACATCCAGACGTGTGCACAAGGCTCTGGGCAACCTTATCTGAAATTGTGACGACTGGAAGCAACCCAACTGCCTGTCAGCGGGGGACTGGTCAATGGCACAGCCCCCTCCGGAATGCTGTGCAGTGGGTACAAGGAATGAGCTAAACCCATATGTGGGGAGGGGCAGCCTGAGCTCTGGGGCTGCCTGGGCTGTCCTGTCTGTCCTATCCCATGGTTCCTGGCTCTGCCCCCTACACCGTGGCACCTCGAGCAAGTTACCTAACCTTTTTGTGCCTCAGCTGCTTGTTCTATCCTAGGCTTGCGAGGATTAAAAAAATTAAAACAGAACTTACTATGGGCTAGACACTCTTCCAAGTGCCTTTTCCATAAGAAGGCACCATCTGAACATCCCTGTGGGGGAGATAATATTATCAGACCCATCCTATACTGGGGGACACTGATGCACAGAGAGGTTAAGTAACTTGCCTGAGACCTCACAGTTAAGAAACAATGGTGCTTGTGTTGAAACCCACCGAGTCTGGATCCAGAGCCCACACCCTTTGGCTACTCTGCTAGAGCACCTCTCATCTTAAGGCACAAACACAGCCAAAGGATTCTGGACAGGGCCTGCCCCCGAGTCAGAGCTGAATAAATGGCAGCTGTGGTTATTATTTTACTAATATTATGAGTAATATAAGAACGGCTCCAAGATATAAATGGAAAAAACAAGAAATCCCAGAAAGGTTCCCTGTAGTTGGGTCCCAATTATGTAAAAAGAAAACAAACAAAAAAAAACACCGAACATGACATACGTTTGCAGACAGACAGAGAGATACATAGGGGTGAGTGAAGGGGTCCCAACTGCTAACAGGGGCTTCCTCTGCGGTGGTTGACATGTGGGAAGCACGTACTTCTTTCACTTTTTTCTTTATATGTTTCTGTATTTTGAACATTATCTTTTTTAAAGATAAAAAAATATATCCCTGTATTAGTTGTTTACCAGAAAAGGATTATTTTTAAAAGCAGGATATGAGATTGCACAGGCAGCATGATCTCAGCCATGTTTAGAAATGCAGGGAACGGAAGGCCAACTGGATGGAACAGCATCAAATGTCAACTGATGTTGTCAGCGGGGTTGGAATTATGGGCGACTTCTCTCTCTGCTGCTCTGGATTTTCCAAAGGTATAATAGTGAGCACGCATTTTCTTTTTCCTATAATAAAAATTCGAAGTTCTTTGAAAGAAAAGCCTAAGTGCGGGGCTCTAGTGGGAGCCGCTGGGGTGGGCAGGGCCCGGCGGATCAGCACAGCCAGCAGCTTCAGGTCGCCCACCCCTCCTGGGCCACCACCTGGAGCTGGGACCGAGCCTGGAACCACATCCTTTCCTGCCCCTGCCCCACCCTGGTCCCAGTCCCCTGGCCTAAGAATTTATTTGCCCCAGAGACACAACCAACTCCTGAATGAGAAGCTGCCAGACAAATTATTTTTCTGAGAGAAAGAGAAAAAATAAAAATAAACCCAACCCATTTCAACAGGTTCCCTGGCTCGGGGCCCACTGCGCATTCAAAACTGTGATGTAATTCTCACCAAAAGCAATAACAGAGCTGAATCTCTCCCTATCTCTGCCACAGACCCGCCCAATGTTCTGCCTTTCAGGAGGAAGGAAGGGAGTAGGAGGAGAAGGGCCTGCAATGGGGTCCGTGCCAGGCTGGGGCAGAGGGACAGCTGGAAACCCAGCCTGCTCGTTAACAAATCTAGGAACCAGCTCATGAGATTCTCCCAACAACCTCAAGCACGAGATGGCACTATGCCCATTTCACAGTTGAGGAAACTGAGGCTCGGAGGGGTCACCTTAGCCAGGGTCGCACAGTTTTAGTAAACAAAGGAGCCAGAATCTTGACTCTAAACCAGACTCCCAGTAGGTTTTGTTTTACACAGGTAATTCATTCTCCTGGTTGAAACACATAAAGTAAAACAAAACAAAACAGAACAAAAAACAAAACACACAGACACACAATGGAGTGTGAAGTCAAAAAGGATGTTTCCCATGGCTGCTAACAGCTCAGAGCTGCATCCTTCTGGTGACTGCTCTTGGCTGGTTGGAGGTCCCCTTGCCTTGGGATGCTTGGGAGGTTGCACGGCCCCCACCCATCCCCACACACCACCCTGTACCCATCAGTAGAGGATATGGATACTAACAGCCCAGCCCCCTTGCTACCAGGCCAGACAGACTACGATGTCATTCACACGCCATGGCTCCCTGTGGGATCAGGCCGCAATTAGACGTCAGCTGAACACACACCTCTGCCTGTCTTCTCACCTCCCTCATGCCCTTACAGGTTCCTCCTGGGAGCCCTCTCTCAATAAACCACTTGCAGAAAATCTACGTTTTACTTCTTGGGAGCGTGACCTCAGAGACACCACGCCCCACCCCACCCCCACCCCGCAACATGGCTACTCTCCAGAGGCGAACCGTTGGCAGTGTCTTGTGTTTTTTTATTCCAAAAAACATCCAAGTGCGTGTACATTTGATTACGTCCTGCCCCACAAAAGTGGGGAGAGTTTCCTGCTGCCCGTTGTTTGCAGCTTGCCATCCACTTAACTTGTCCTGGTTATCTCGCCATTTCCACACACACAGCACTGCCTAGAGGACGTGTCTTGCCGGAGCAGGGGGCTGCTGGGAATACTCACATTCACAGTGCAAATTGGGTAGACTGATGTTCAGGCTGACGTCAATTTTGCCCCCGCTGTCCTTGTCCGGGTCATCGACGTACAACTCGTTCACACTGAAGGAGACAAGTACAGAAGCCTTGCTGAGATGGGGACACCCATCCCGGCTGCAGGGGACAGCCAGGGACACTTCACTTGGTGACCACTGCTCAGACAACCCAGACTCCCATCCGGGGGAAGCCTGGACCTGCTCAGGCACGGGGGGCAGGGCTCCCATCTCCGTGGCGCTCTCCAAATGCGGGCCTTACCCCTTACAAGGAGGGGAGGAGGACTGGACGGGATGGCGGCAAGAGCACGGAGTCAGACGGACTCACTTTCCAATCCTGACTCTGCCACTTTTCTATGGAACTCGGGCAGATAACTTCACCTCTGTGAACCCTTCTGTTAAACGGGGATACCACCACCCACTGTTAATGGGGTGTTCTGAACACTCACATGAGAACTGAGACCGTTCTAGGGATCAGGGCCTGGTACCAACAGGCACACGGTTCCTGACTCCCTCCTCTCTTGAGCTCCCCCGACTCGGCCCCCCACCCTCCCAACCCC